CTTCAATGCGGTATGACGTGCTCTCTCTGTCCAACAAGCTATCGAACCCGCAACCAAACGTTTCTCCAGATGCGCAAGTTGAACTGGCGCCGATCTTGGCGTCGCTATTGTCTCATCTTACAAGCCACCCTGTGCCAACTCTCTCCGTCCTTGCATCCCAACTCCAGCCGAACCAAGATCAAAACCTACGGGACCTCGTGCTCCGCTTCCTTGTCTCTCCGGATACTCTCCCCAAGCTGGCTTCAACCTCGCGAGTAGAGCTTGTTGAAGCTATTTTAACATGTCTGGGAGAAATTGAAGACGAAATTTTGGTCAGAACACTGCTTGCGACACTTCTCTCCGGCGTCTCGTCTGACAGACTCTGGACCATCGCGACAACCCCGGGGATCTCTCAAACACTTTTACCCCTCTTTCCCACTGTATATTCTTCAGAACAGTGGATACTCGAGGCTCTCTTCGCGCTGCATCCCACGTCTTCGCGAGACAGTTTAGCCATCCTTCGCGCTTTGGCAGCGACACTTCTTCCTTCATCCGCGTTTCCGAATACATCTAAAATTATTGCGTCACAGTCTGAAAGAATTTTCTCCGATATTCTTGCAGCCCAATTCGAACTTCGCGGACAAACGGATGAATTCCTCTTACTCGTAGTGCGCACCTTTGTTTCGAATCTACTTGCTGTGCGTAGTCTCTCTTCATTTCTCAATCTTATAAATGCTAAAAAAAAGGAATAGGTAAAAAGGGAAGACAGTTCCTTCAGTATTCCTCCAGCCCTTCGTCCGCAAATTGAGCGTTTGAGTACAACTCCCATAGTCAAGAACGACGCGGCCCTCTTACGGGATGTCCAGGTTAGCCTTCTTCTCTTTCAGTCTGATAAATCTCTGAAAACGTTACTTTCAGCACCTGATCCAACTCATGACCCCTCGTCATCCTGCTCCGCCTTCACGGACAATTTCTGCGCCAGCCCCCTCCAGCTCTGCCCCGGGCATATCACTCAACGTCGCCTCTCTGTATCCGAAATGGATGTACAGCCAACTCGCATGAATAAGCGAGTTAGGTCGACTGGGGCAACACCAACAGCTGGTGCCACACCTGACCTTCTCACTCGACTCGGTATGGGATCTCCCAAATCACCCAATGCTCCAAAACGAACACCTTCTCTATCTATTAATGGCGCTGCAGCGGGACGCCAACGGACCATTGCACAAAACCGCCGGCCAATATCCAGAACCAATTCATCCATGGATGTGGATGAGCCACCTAATAGGCCGTCCCAGAAACGTAACATGGAAGAGCCCAGCACTGGGAGGGTCAAGTCTTGGGCTGAGATTAGCAGTCACCGTAATGACCCTTTACCAACTCGGGACAGAAAAATCAGAGTTCGTGGCCGAGGAGCAGATACTGCGATGAAGTTTGAGCCCTCTAGGCTTTCACAGTCAATATCGGCACCTGTCGGGATGGATGTGGATCGTGGACTAGATGATTTGTTTTCTGCACCTGGCGGGATAAAAATTGCAGGTGCAGCAAGCGGCGGAACTTCGTCGGACAGCGGTACTAGTGACAAGCGAAGAAAAGGCAAAGGGAGGAACAGTGCAGCTGGTAAAGCAGGATCTACCAACCTTTTGCAGAGGTTGTCAATGACCAGTTGATCACATTCGGTTGTCTCGTTTGAAGAGTTTACTCCCCTATTCTGGTCCCTTATTCTCTCTTTATAATAATACGTACTACATACCCCAGCAGTGCTTAATTTTGAACAAGTGATGGCATTGATTGCTTTTGAAGAGCTATAAGTTGTTTAACATGAACGGCTGGCGATGTCACTGGAGAGCAAAAACAGGCGGGCTAATTGCGGTATGATGGGAGAGGCATAGCATCTGGTTCCCGCGTCCAAAAAGAATCCACGTGAAGGTGACATAACGCGCATCCAAAGGCAAAAGCTGGAATATGCATCAAAGCACTAGACTAGGTGAGCCAGGAAATGTCTGGCATGAGTCTTGATACGATGAATGAACAAGTAGGACGAGTAAGTATGGAACATGAGCCTAAGTCCTATGGCTTCTGTCTTGGAACGACGTCAAATACTTGAAAAAAAGTCAGCGAACCAACGCGATCATTTTAAAGAACTGGACTATGCACCTTGCCAAAACTCTCTTGAATCTAATGCCCTCCCCAAATCTTCAACAGGGCGTGGAAGAGCTCTTGGGCCATCCGGTTCGTTCATAAGCTCTCGAATCCAGGTGGGCCGCTGAGTGTTCTCTTCTTCATCAAGGGTGAGAATAACCTCCCACCAATCGTAGACCCGGAGGTCGGTGAGGATCCAACGTTGGCCAGAGGCGCGTGAGAAATGTTGATGGACAGCAACAATTGCTTTAGCCAAATCATCCCCATGAAGAAGATGCAAGCTGCCCTGAAGTACGGATAAGTGAAAAAAGGCAGGACATGAAGATGTGATAGGCGTACTTTGAGACGAACAATATCTTTGGTGGAAGCAACCTTTGGGATCCAATTTTTTGGGTGACGGGCACCTCCATATAGACCAGAGAGATTCAGAACGGTAGTATGAGCATTGGGAAGGGATAAAAATTCAGTTTCGCATTTGGAGCGGTCTGTCTCGGAGAATGACGAATGGCGCGTGAACCACTGGTGGCTGGTCTTCGTACGGATCTGGTTTCCACGATGAGGCGTGCTCTGATTGGGGAATTTATGTAATGAATATTTTAATATCGAAGGCATAAAATTGAGCATCTTACACCCCACATACTGGTCGTGCCAAGTTGGATAAATCGAATATCTCTATGGTTGACGGTGCCCGCTCGAGTCGAGGAGTATAATTCAACAAGAAGCTTGCTTGCACCAGACTTGACAATAGGAAATGTAATCAGAATTGTGTGAGCATCGGGAAGAGATCTGAATCGGGTCTCGAGTTCTGAACGCTCGATGTCCACGTCGAAAGCGAACGGAATCGTGTCATTGCCACCAGAGCGCGTCGTAGCTGCATAGGAGAGTTGGGAAGACTTGAGAAGAGGTATCAAGAAGGTCGAAGTCCAGCCAGAACCAAGAATAAGAAAGTCCAATTGCATCTGCATGGTGGTCACGAAAAAAGCCAGAAAACAAATGTCGTCACTCGTTTGCTTTCTTCCCTCCGTCATGCCACCGTCTGTAAGCGCTTTTCCCTTCTCGTTTGTTCCGAATGCCTCTAAGTATTAATTTGTTTCTATAGCAATCATGCCAGGCGCAAGGTTCGTTTCTTTCATCTGACTGTAGTACGCACATTGTTGATCATCTTCTTGCAGCCTGTGACCTCCAATCATGCCTCAACAAAAACGCTTATACCCCGGAAAACTGTGAAGCGGCAATGAGAAAACTCTACACTTGTTGCCAATCCATGTATGAAAAGAATGGTCCAGATGCCGAGAGTACGGCTTGTCCTATGAACAATGTAGTCAAGCGTTGGCTGAAAGCCCACCCAGACAAGCAATAGTGCATGGGAAGATAAATGGATAGTCGTATCTCTTTCATGCAAACTTATACGTGCATAGACACAGTACTCTAGAGGTATAGCATAATTGTAGTGAATCCTACTTGCCAGACCTTTCTTTTGCAATCTCAAAGATTTTCTCTCCAAAGACCTCTGCGTCTCCTGGCCACCGTGCACTAACATATCCTTCATCAACAACAACCCAGGCGTCGTTCCTGTTATAGGAGAGCAAAAGATTGAGCGGTCCGCGCTCAAAGTTTGCCGAGTCGTCAAGAGATGATGCAACAGCGTATTGTGTGCGAGTATACGGATAGGTGAGGTAGTAGTCACCAAGGAAGAGCTTAGTAGTTCCATAAGCCATGTCTTCCATGTATGCTGGGAGTGTGGTGGTTCGACGGTTGTGAAGAATCGATTTTCCGTCCGTAGTGTTTGTCCAAGCCATGGCCATAGCACCATGACTACGTTGTTATCAGTAAGCAGATGGTAGGGACTTAACGCAGGAGAAACTGAATTTACCAGATAGCTCCCACGGTCTTGCTTCCTCCAGCCTCAGTACCGGGAAAGTAATCGGTAAGTTTTTGTCGGAGAGTAGGACTCTCTATTAGTTGACGGACCCCTTTGTCGTGTCCACCGGGAAGGAGAACAAGGTCGTACTCCCCGAGAGAGAAGCTGTCTTGAGACCACGCCAAGGGTGCGTTGAATGCCTTCGATGAAACCATTTGTTTGTAGGCATTGCGTGCGGGTTCCTTGGCGCCCTACACGAAATGATCTGATATCAGCAATAAGAAGAAATAAAAAAAGACTTACTGCAAAGTAAGCCCAGGTTCCGTCGAGCATTCTTTTATCAGCTGCTGTTACATCACCGTGTTCACTCGCGAACGTGATGTCCACATTCTGTGATTGGAGATATGACCACGGAATGGCGCTTTCAGTCGGATCGAAACCATAGTCGGGAGTAAGGATGATGGCTTTTAAGGGATTGTCACGTTTTGTGGAAGGAGCGGAAGTGACTGTGGTCGTCAAAAGTGAAACGAAGAAGAAAAGAACGGTGGTCGTCATCATGTATGGGGGGAAGCGGAGAATGGGAGGTTAGGAGTGGATGTGAGACAAGTGAAGCAACCATCCAGAAAACTAGCGACTTTTATATGGGAGACAATGGTAGCCCGAGGGGACAACCCGACACAGATATGGCCATCATCATATACACCTGCATCCAAAGTTGCTGCCCCCGAGCTGGAATTCAGATAGTGTCGCCAGAGGGACGCCAAGCAACAAGCTGGTGATAACGTTTAATCACAGGAGAAGCTGGATGAGACCAGAGCTTTATGCTTTGAGACCACCTCATGGTAGCAAGAGACAAGGTTTGGTCTGTACGAACCAGTCTAGTTGGACACCGATGTTGCATCCAATTCTCACCTCTCCGTTGCTGCGTTCTTCTCCGATGTGCTCCTTCGGAAGAGTGCATGGCTTTAGAGTCCTCCTATTTGACAGCTTAAGACTGCAGAATAGAAACACGTGTTATCAAGGGCACATGGTGTAGTTGGTTATCACGCTCGCTTAGCATCATTTGACTTCTGCGAGAGGTGTTGGGTTCAATTCCCAATGTGTCCATATTTTTGAAGGTGTTCTGTTTTTTTCTTTCTTGTGGAACCTGAGGATAATCTCAAGGAACACTTTCGGGATTGATTGTTCATGACAAGGAAAGGCAAACGAGCTCTCACCAAGGTACAGGCCTATGGATATCGGTGTGATATAATCGGAGAATATGTGGTTCGTCAAAAGAGAAATTCAATAAAATAGACGGAAAGAGTATTCAAGGTTGAAGGAAATTGATGAATGATTAGGAACGATATGAATGTTGAGAGAAGCCACAAGGACGGAACCAATTGAGCTTTCAAAACTTTTTTCCTGGCTTGCCGTCACCATGTCTTCGGCGAATGCACCTTTGGCGCATACCTCTGCACACCCTACGATTGTCGGAATTAACTTAGGCAATGCGTACTCAAGCATCGCCGTCTTCACAAAATCTAGTGCAGGTGTTGGAGGAACTCTTCCTCAAACCATCGCGAACGAAGATGGAGAGAGGCAGATCGCGAGCTGTGTTAGCTGGAGTGCCACTTCTGACGAGGTAACAAAATATTTTCTCATCTTCCATCCAATTGCTAAATTCGTTTAGATCTACATCGGTAACCAGGCCAAATCACAGCTCGTAAAAAATGGGGCAAACAGCGTGATGGGTTGGTCTGCTTTCCTCGGCAAGCCTTTCTCCTCCACGCCCGCTGCTCCTCAGGGAACTGCTCCGATTATCCAACATCCTACTATCGCGGGTTCTCCGGCGTATAAAATCAATACTTTTGTGACGCCTGTCGCGCCTACTCCCATTCCGTCCTCAACCTTTGCTACTCCTGGTCAGAGCACGCGAGGAACTCCTGCTGCTGGAACTCCTCTGACGGTTGAGCCTCAGCCCATCGAAAAATCTTCACTCCCGCTGAAGTAGCAGAGATTTTTATCCGCTCGCTCATCCAGAGTGCCAGTGATTTTCTTGGTGCACAAGTGTCTGGTGCCGTTGTCGTTGTATCTTCATCTTGGGATTCAGACCAACGCACTGCCCTTCGGGGCGTATTTGACAACATTGGAGTTCGCGTTCTTCAGATTTTGGACGAAGCCTCCGCTGCTTTAGCCTTGACAACAAGTCCTGCATCATGGATTCCTGACTTGCCCAAGGATCGTACCCAACTCGTCGTTGATGTCGGCCATTCGTCTGTCCACACTTCTCTCATCCAGATTCGTGATGGGCTAGGCGTCCTACTTGCGTCCCAATCGACATATTCTTCCCAGGACAAGAAGGTTGGAGGTGAAGCCATTGATGACAAGCTTCTCAAACATTTTTCCGCCGACTTTTCGAAAAAGTCGAAAGTAACTCTTTCTTTACCTGCAGCAAACCTCGACAAACAGGACGCACGTGCGCAAGCAAAGCTCCTCCTAGCTCTTGAGCATACCAAGAGGACCATCTCTGCCTCAACTGGTGCTGCTACAATCAGCGTCGAGAGTTTGAAAGACGGCATGGACTACACAGGTAGTGTCAACCGAATGCGTTTCGACTTGTTGGTTGGCAGTGTTTATCAAGATGTGGCCAAGCTTTGTGAAGAAACTTTGAAAGAGGGAGGTGTGAAAGGTGAATGGATTGACGAAGTTGTCAGTAGTTTTTGTTAATTTTGCCGTGACAAACCTCACCTCTCGAATTAGGTTTACCTTGGAGGATCAGCTAGTTTGCCTGGCCTCGATGAGTCTCTGACTGCTTCCCTCAATCTTCTTGTCGACGATGGCCTCTGTATCACCGGTCATTCATCTACGCATATCGCTGGGCAAGGTCTCGCAGATCCGACTACTGTCCTATCACGTGGTGCTGCCATCCAGGCCGCTCTTATTGAGTCACTGACCCACCCTGACAACGAAGTCTCAGACGGTGTCAAGGCCGCTTTCACGGGCCCTGAACCTGTCGACGGCAAGGGTGACCCACTGATGCCCTCCCTTGGCAAAGCTATTGCATTGGTTGTACTGGGCAAAGACAATCTCGCACCGATAATCATCCTCGACAAAGATACGCCTCTCCCTGCTCGTCGTATATCGACACTTCCTACAGAAGGAAATGTAATCGAAGTGTGGGAAGTGGAGGCCGATGTTAAAGTCGAGAGAAATAAACTCCCCCCTTTAGAAACTGAAGACGGGGAACCGGAGGAAGAGGAAGAAGAGGAATGGGAGGAGACTAAAGTAGGGAGATTAAGACTGTGACCAAGCTGGGTGAACTGAAAGGTGCAAAAGGGAAGGAGGTGGTTGTAGTCGTGAGTGGGCAAGGGAAAGGTGGATCAGTTAGTGTTGGAGGGGTGAAGATTGACATTAAGATATAGAGATTCTGACCTTGCATATATGACTGATTTTGTTGTGAACTATATCTTTACTGTAGGATGTCCTGAGGAACCTGGCGTGCAGTCGCCGTTCGGGCCGTGAGCCCCACGTTTCTACAGTGAGCCACTACCATCATGTTTTCGTCGAGTACTCAGAAACAACGTGTGTAAGTATGCGTTTTACCATCTCTGGGCACAGCTCAAGTGTTATATGCGATGAGCTAGGAGAAAAATAATAATGTGAAACGGAAGTGGTGGCTCATTGTTTTGCTGAGTCTACAAAAAAATGGAGGTAAAAGCTGAACTACTGCTTCTCACTTAGCGGTGTTGTTTATGCCTACCAGTCGTGGTTTTGGATGACTTACTCGAGGTAGATACTTAGGATCCTATAATGTAACTTATAATCAATATTATTGGCTAATTCTCTTCCTGCTTCTCACTCTCTCCAAATATATGTCTTCTGGGCTGTATTGGGTAATAAACATGTGTAGACAACGACTTAGCCATAGCACAGCAAAATCTTCTTTGTTTGCAGTTGTTGTTGTTGTCCAAATTCGGCTGGGCTCCAACAATAGAGTCATGGGGCGCCCAGCACAACGTCCTTTGTTCCCGACGGCGACAACGTTTCTTATGGCGGAACCAGGGCCTTCTTCACTGAGTGCGCCACCCCCGCCGCATACGGGTCCTCAAGTTATCAAGTTCCTTTCACCATCCCCTCCGCCTGTCTCCAGTCCTCCTCGACCGAAACGGGCAAAGGCCGGCGCCCACCCAGCTACATTTGACAGTGCACCTACTGAAGGGCTTTCCAGTGTCGAAGCCGCTCTCGTTAAACATATTCTTGATTCTTTAAAGGAGGAAGCCACTGTTAACCATATTATGAACCAAGCCGGATGGCGAAATATGAGCGTAGAGAAGGACCGTGTCACTCGTCCAAGAAATCCCTACATTCTTTTTCGGACGATCTATGTTAAGAACTTGCAGGTAAGTATTGAGTCAGCTCCAATTTATTTTGTTGTCAATCGGTGCTTCTTCGCCGTTATTTTAGACGCTCTATCCAAAAGAGTACAATCGTTTCGACCAGAAGGAGGGATCTCGAGACATTGGCAGGATATGGAGAAGTTTGTCAGATTCAGAACAAAAGCCTTTCAATGATCTTGCAGAAAGGGAAAAGCAAGAACATAAGGCATTTCACCCAACTTACCGGTGCGTTTTTTTCTTGTTTCTTAACCTAACTTCGTCACTAAGTGATTTTCTTTTTCTCTCTCTCGTATTTTAGATGGGCTGACCGTTTCAAAAATGCCAAACCTTCCAAAAAACGGCAACTAGCTGAACGAGAACGCGAAGGAGGAGAGAAACCACATCTTATGCTTCGAGGTCCTGATCCAGACGAACTCGCAAAGCGACAGGCTTGGGCTAATGGTCTGGAGTATTCACCCAACTGGTTCGACGGTAGAAGTAGCCGACCGCCACAGTCACTCCCGCGCCATGATGACAAGACGCCCAATTGGGTACAGCTCGAGGCTTGTGGTCGAAAAGAAAGCTTTGGGGGCGGGGATTCGTGAGTGCAGTTAAGCCAAGCTGGCAGTTCACCCTCTGACACTCCGATGGCATTAGATGTGTGAAAAGTACCGAAGGGAAAGTACGCGTTATTGTCGCAAACTATGATGCCGAGAAGAGCAAAGAGAGGAAGACAAGTACTTCCTCTGTTAGAGATGATGATGTTCAGATGGGCGATACCTCAACGCCTCAGAAAGAGAAGCATGTAACAGTGGAAGTCGAGATGGAAGACGCCACTTCCTCTCGTTCTTCTTCGGGTTCAATCCCACCAAATCCTCTCAAGCGACCACGCTCAGTTACTCCCGACGGTGAGATGCCAAGCGATGCTCGCCCTCCTCCGCAACCTCCAACACCACCATCACCCAGACCATTCTTGCTTCGACCTGTTTCGCCTGCTGAACGTAAGCCACCTCGGGACCACCCTCATCACCCTAATCACGCTCACGGCGCTGAGAATATCGACTGCGCTAACCACGAAACACGTGGAATTGGTTCATTACATCCTTACCGTCAAAGCATCGAAATTGAAGGGTCTGGCGGTAATCTCTATGGCGGAGGAAACGCGCAGTGGGGAGGCTGGAAGAGTTGGGGTGTCGTCCATCGCGTCTATGAGCCGTGGACGAAAGACAAGCAGATGATTGAACGCGAGAGAGAAAAGAGAGGACCAAGTCCTCCACTCAGTGCTGCTTCGACGATGCCCTCTCCTGCACCCACTACTCGGACTGCTTCGACCTCATGCCTCAACTACACCTAATCCACCCCACCCTCTTCAACAAGCTGAAACTTCTGCTCAATACCAGGAATCCACAACTTTCGTCTTCACACCTCAAAGCGCCTTAAATCCTGGAGGACCACCGGTTGAAGTCAAAGGTGAAGTGATCATCGAGGAAGGCAAAGCGTATGACTATGCTGAGACACGAAAGCGGATTACTCAGGATGAAAGAAAAGCTGGCGTCGCCAGAAAAGGCGGTCCAGGTAGAGGGAAAAAAGGGCCTATGAGTCAGGGACAGGGAGAGACGTCTGGTATAGCCATGCTCGATAACAGCAAGGAGGTGGAAGACGACTTTGATGATGAAGACGATGCAGAGGACGATCTAGATGGGGTTGGGAAAGATATTGAAAGTGAGGACGAAGAATAACTTCAAAACA